CCGAAGGCAGAACATCCACCGCCAGGCCATGAAATTGAGATAGTGGAGGTCCCCTCCGACGGCGAAGCAGGTGACAGGGTGGAGCCACCGGTGCCGTCGTAGGAGCTGGCGGTGGTCCAGTCGTCGGTTGGGCCCTCCAGTGGGTTGGGGGCGACCACGGACCTGGTGTGGCCCTGCCCTAGAGACCCGAGGAAGGTTCGGTTCATCCTTTGGGATGAGCAGGAGGTGTAGCTCTGGGACGTGCTTGGGGGAAGAGGACTCACCATGGAGTCCAATCTTGCCCAAACCAGGGTGAAGCTCGAAGAGGCCTTGGAGCGGGTCAAGGTCGTCCATTAGGTGGTCACAGTCGACCTGCCCCACATCACAGATGTGAGTTTTTTGCGTTCGTCCTTGACTCCTTAATCTTTCGTCGATCACCTCAGCATGCTTGCTTCTCGTTTTATAAGGTCTGGAGGAGATGTCGAGCCGCAAGTCTCGTTTTCTCCAGGAGGAGCACGCCCGGGAGGCCACGATGTCGCGGTGGGTTGCTGAGCTCGAGCGCCAGCTGGAGTCCACCCGCCGCGAGTCCCAAGACCGAGTGGTGGAGGCGATCGAGGCGCAGGCGGTGGAACTGCTCGCGGCCGAGCGGAGTGGGGGCTTGACATGGCAAAGGTCCACCAGGCGAAGACCTAGGCGGCGCTACAGAAGTCCCTGGCGAAGGCTGAGGCGGTGCTCCAGAGTTCCCTGGAGCCCCTAGAGTCATAGCGGAAGGCCCAGTCGGAGGTCGACCAGGAAGTGCTCTCGCTCTGAGGCGGGGTGCTTGGGATGGAGGAGTTGAACGTCTGGTTGCGCGAGCAGGTGACTTGGTAGGAGGAAGGACTCTCCATCATTGAGAACACCCGCCTCGGTATGTACCTGTTCGGTTTTTGGTTGATGTCTTGGTTTCTTTCTTTAGCTTGCTTCTGAGCTTGTCATCCTTCTTCTAGAGCTGGACGAAAAGGTTGGGTCACTAGAGCAGGACCTAGAGACGTCCAAGGCGACGATTGGTCGGAGCGCGGAGGCGCTGGCCAAGTCCCTTGAAGAGTGACATGATCTCGAGGGGGAACTTGGCCAGATACGCAATGTTGCCTAGGTCATCGTCTCGGAGGTCTTTCGATCGGCGCCAAGTACCAGCACGCCCGCCATTCGGCTGGCGGAGGTTCCGGATGAGGTTCGGGCCCTCATCTCTGACGAGATGTTCTATGAGACGTCGGGGGTGTTGACTTTGGTGGCGATGCACCACCCGGACCTAGACTTTGACACCATCTGCAGTGGGTATGCCGATGGCTGGAGCCCAGACGCCATCCATGCGCTCGGGGAGAGCTTGCTGCCATGCGCACAGATGGTGGCAGAGCAAGTCTCCGCACAATGGGTGATGGATGCTTGCCGTGCGAATCCTTGGTGAAAGGCGTCTGCGCCGGAGGGACGTCGCCAGACCTACGAGATGGAGTGGAGCTCAGGTCGAAGCGGACATCGCCATTCCCTCCGACCGAGCCAAACGTCGTCTAGTCGGAGAGCGAGCAGCCCCCTATCTTCGCCGGTCATGTGACAACCGATGTCTTAGGCAGCCACACAATAGCATGTAAAGTAGAAACAAGCAATATGTGTAAGGGATAAGTTCATGGGGAAGTCCCCGTGTAATCGTTTTTGTGTATCCATGAATACAGCAACTTTGTTTTTGTGATGAATCACTTCGTTCGGGGAAGCTTGTCCCATCCGTTCCTTGTTTTTACCCTAGCATAGCTTTGTTTTTATTCTTTCTTTTTCACATCTGCCTTAATTCCCGTGAGGGTCGCAACCTTAAGAGCCCAGGCGTGGCCCACGAGGCTCAGCTGCTCGTAACCGTAGGTAGAGGCGGGGTGCGATCTGTCGGAATATTGAAAGTAAAGTTATGTAAGGTAATTAAAGGAACGGACTACCCTTTCGTTCTGGTAAAAATGGTTTTACCATATGATAGTAAAAAAGGGAGGTGGTGTCGCACCCCCATAGATTTTTACCATATGATAGTAAAAAAGAGGTGGTGTCGCACTTCGTGGAGCCTCCGAGCAACCCGTGCCAAAAGTGTTACGCCAAGGTGCTTTGTAGGAGCGATCGTTGAATGAAAGAAAAACGGTAAGACCAATTTTTTAAGGGAAGAAATGGCATAACTGTTCGATGTTCTAAGTGTTGGTGAGAACATCGCCAGGCGTCCGGTCGGATCACTTCGGTCACCATGTAAGGTCCTTTCCATGGTGGAGAGAGTTTGTGCTTCTCCTTGGTCGATTGGGTTGTTCAAAGCACGAGGTCTCCGACCTCGAGGATCCTTCCTCTGATTTTCCTCTCGTGTGTATATCTGCGGAGCGTTCTTTGTAGCGAGTGGAGCGGATGACGGTCATCTCATGGGCCTCCTCGGCGGTGTCGACATCTTCTTGGATGGAGTCCAATAAGATAAGCCTTAATTATATGCTTCCACTTGGCAAAGTTAGTCCTATCAAATTGAGTAACTTGCCCGTGGGTATGTTGATGTGAGTGTTAGTAGGCAAATTTATGAAATCATAATTAAAGGATACACTCGAATATGATCTCTTGGTGTTAGATTTGAGTGTCCTCTTTGGTAGCCTTTGATCATAGTACTCATCATCATCATCATCTCCATTCTCTGACTCGCTGCTTGGTTGTGGACTTGACTGCACCTTTCTTCTTGCTTTGTGTTTCTTCTTCTCCTTGTTCTTGTTCTTGTCCCTTTGCTTGTCTCCCTTGGAGGATCCCTTAGCACCAAGCTTGAGCTTTGGAAGTCGCTCAAGCATTGTTGTGGGATCATCCTCAGGAGCTTCGGGTTCCTTTTCACTAGGAACATCATCAAAGCGGTCCTCTCCATCTTCCTCCGGTATCTTTCTCTAGGACTTGCCATTTCCTCACACGGTTAAGTGCTATCACGAGGAAACCTGCTCTGATACCAATTGAAAGGATCTAGCAAGTGACCTAGGGGGTGAATAGGCCTTTTCTGAAATGTAATCAACTTATGAAAACAATTAGAACGCGAAACCTCCGGGTTTGAGCACGGAGGTTCCGGGACTGAGCGTGGAACCTCCGGGGATCAGAGTATAAAAACGATCTACTATGGAATTTAATGAATGAAAAATAGATCGAATATAATACCAGCCTTCCTGGGAAAGTATTTTGGGCTATCCAAACAGTCGGTTGCACCTAGCAAATGAGGAATTCGTAGATTGGATGCAAACCCTAAAAATCAATCCAAATCACAAGTAATAGAAACAACAACAGCAATCACAGTGAACACAAGGATTTATCCCGTGGTTCAACTCGTCATAAAGGCTTGTCTACGTCAATGTTATTGAGGTTAGCCACAAAGGCTATGGAGTCTCTTTCAACTCGCTCCTCTTCTCCAACCTATCACCAAGGTAATAGGTTAGAGGGTTCCACTAAGTCACAAAGGATAATACAAACTTCCTGGTGCTCAACCACAGTGGATTGGGAGCTATTGGGCGACCGCTAGCCGTCTAGGAGTCAAGCTCCAAGAGTAACGAACACACCAAGAGGCTAGGGCTTCACCAAGTGCACAATAACGGAGGAGAAGAATCTTCTCGAGCTTTCTCACACTCTCTAGAGCCAAATCCCTTAAGGAATCATAAAGATTTGAGCAAGGGAGTTGGGAGCACCAAGCTTAGGAGAGAGAGAGAGCTTCTATTCGTCAGGAATGAAGGATGGAGAAGATGATCGTTGGGGACGAAGGGGTATGGTATAAATACCACCCACGTCACCCATAAAAATGATCGGGTCTGTTAGACCCTGGAGCCTCCGCGTCAGGATGCGGAGGTTCCGTGCCAGAGCGTGGAGGTTCTACGCAGGCCAGAGCAGATAAGAATTCAGCTCGGCTGGCTTTTGTGGCTGGGATTATTTGAGATGTAGATGGAGTTTTGAGTACTTAGTTCCACCCAGCACACCATTAGTATCCTCTTTGATAGTACGGCTTGTCCTATGACTCAATTTTAAAATATAAAATGAATTAAACTAGTTCTTGGAGCCGTTGCAAGCCATCCATTCGAGTTGGGGGTCTCCTCCTTTGTTTCTTTGCATCCACAATTAAAGATATGTTGTCAAACACTTCTCAAAGTCATTAGTCCTTTAATTATGTGGTCAACATCACCAAAACCCACTTAGAGCTTGATTGCACTTGCAGTGATCAATACAATTCGAGCAACCTCTCACCTGAAAGAGAAGAGAAAAACAAAATCTAAGGGTGTGAAGGCAAAATGTATAAACATGGATTTTGTTTGAAGGTCAAAATCCAATTGGAGAGCTCACTCGAAATTTGCAAAAGAAAATGAAGAAAACAGAAATTTCGAAAAAAACGGCCCAGAAGAAGGCCCAGAGAGTAAGGCCCGTGCCCGTGCCCGTGCGTGTGCGCTCTTTTTTTGTTACGTCGTCGCTGCATAAGCTGCAGCGCCCCTTCCGTCGGGATATTCTGCATCCCTCCTCGTTCGCTCTCTTTCTCCCTCTCTCTCTCTCTCCCCTCTCGCTCTCCGACGACTGGTGGACCGCCGCCGCCGCCGCCGCCGCCGCCCTAAGCCAGGTGCTGAGGTTTTTGTTGGTCCCTTCACCGGCGACGAGCACCCACCAGGTACTCCCACTCCTTCTCTTCCTTCCCTTCCCTTCATGCTGTGCGAAGCTGAGCACCGAAACCCTAACCTAAAGCTATTTAGCTATTTAACAAGCCTCCTAACTTCGAAGTTTTCGCAAAATTATTGGGCGTACATGTGTACACCCATGTCCCTCTACTGGATCCACCCTGTTATTATTTGTTTTGATTTTTTCATCAAGGAAAAAGTAGCCATTTGGTTGAGATCCTCGTTTTTTTTTTCTGAGAAGTGTTTGCCATGCTCTACGTTATCTCTTTATGTCTGACTGTTTGTTTTATTTCTGTTATTTCCAGGTTTTAGCGATCACTGGTAGCGACTTCATCAAAGACATTTTGCAAAATTATGCGATCTTCATGGGCTGATTCAGTTGCGAACGCCGAGGAATCGGCGCCCGCGACTGTTACTGCTAATGCCCCTGCCCCTGCTGTTAATCATCAGAACTCGCGCTCCACCCTCAGCGCGTACGTTCCTCCCCACCTTCGTGGCCGCTCAGGTGGTCCTCTCCCTGAGAACAAAGCAGTGCCTGCTGCAGCTCCTGCACCAGCTGACGTAAGGCCTGCTGCTGTGCAGCCTTCTGGTTACGCAGCTGTTGTTGGTGGCAGCTCTCGTTGGGCAGGCCCTACTGTTGGTGGTAGTGGCGGTGGCGGTGGTAGCGCCATAGTTGGTCCTCGCCAGGGTGGTGGCGGTCGAGGCGGCGGTTGGAACTCCCGACCTGGGTGGGACCGTGAGAGACCGTGAACCAAACCCTTTGCCAACACCGAGGCTGCAGATGTTGATTTCGAGACTCAGGAGAATACAGGCATCAATTTTGACGCCTATGAGGATATTCCTGTTGAGACGAGTGGCCATGACGTCCCTCCACCAGTCAATACCTTTGCAGAGATTGATTTGGGTGATGCAGTGAATGAGAACATACGGCGGTGCAAGTATGTGAAGCCAACACCGTACAGCGACATGCCATTCCTATCGCCAATGCAGGTCGGGACCTCATGGCTTGTGCACAGACAGGGTCTGGAAAGACTGCAGCCTTCTGTTTCCCTATCATTAGTGGGATCTTGAAGTCAAGGGACTCAAGGCCACCCCAGAGGCGAGGTTCCAGGACTGCTTGCCCTCTGGCGCTGATACTATCCCCTACTCGTGAGCTATCTATGCAAGTATGTTGTCATTCAGGTTATCCTTTTTGTTTCTTTTCTTATTGTTGATTTTTATTTGATTTCTGATTCTGATTCTGTATTTTATGTAACCTCAGATTCATGAAGAAGCAAGGAAGTTTTCATACCAAACAGGGCTGAGGGTGGTTGTTGCATATGGTGGAGCACCAATACATCAGCAGGTTTAGCTTTTTTTTTGAAATATAAGTTTTGTTCACATTGGTAATTACATGATGGGTCTCATAGTTTTTTGGTTGCCTCCCTGAATTCGTTTGATTTGTTGGCATATCAAGTTCGCTTGTCTTGTCTGATAGCATAAAACATAGTGATAGTTATGCTGATTAGCTTGCAATGATGCATCAATTAATTATAATTATTAGGAAGTAGCCAAAGAGCAATGCACGGTGTTAATAGACACTGGTTTTTAATTCACCACACTGAAATGGAAAATTTCCAAACAATCCTAGTTGTGCTTTCCGCGATCCTTTTCCTTTTTTTCTAATATATCACTGAAATTAGTGGTGCATACTTTCTGTAGTGAAGTTAATGGCTATGTGTCAACAAGATTCTCAGGACCAGGAAGCACATCTGATAGGGGAAAAAACTTCCATGCTATCACTTTTTTTTGTGTGTGTGCAATTGTATGGGATTAGGAGGCTTAGGGTAGGAACAGCTTTGCTAAATCTAAGAACTCTAGTATCTAGTATTAGAATAAAATAAAAAGATTGTCAATTATATATGACACAGGGTTTTAGCCCATTCTTATTACTAACAAATCGTTGTAATGGCCTTTCTTCTGTAGAAGCTAGTGCAGAAACTATACTGGCTGTAAATAAGTGAACTCATTTCATAAGTGGTTGCATCTTCTAAGTTATCAGCAATTAATTGGATGGTGCTGGCCATAGCATATTTGCATGAGAATTTTTGCACAACATAGATGTTAAATGTGTACTGATCTGTTATTGTAGCTGAGGGAACTGGAAAGGGGTGTAGAAATCCTTGTGGCAACTCCTGGTCGCTTGATGGATCTGCTGGAGAGAGCCAGAGTGTCACTGCAAATGATAAAGTACTTAACTCTTGATGAAGCTGATCGAATGCTCGATATGGGCTTTGAGCCACAGATCCGCAAGATTGTTGAACAGATGGATATGCCCCCTCGTGGTGTGAGGCAGACTATGCTGTTTAGTGCTACTTTTCCAAAAGAAATCCAGGTATTTTTCCATATTCACACTTCTAGCTTCAATCATATGTCAAATTCCATAATGTTTACACCATTACTATTTATTGAAGGGCGGGCCTAGTGCAAGCGGTAGAGTCTTACCGCCTGTGACCGGAAGGTCCCGGGTTCGAGTCGCAGTCTCCTCGCATTGCACAGGCGAGGGTAAGGCTTGCCACTGACACCCTTCCCCAGACCCCACACAGAGCGGGAGCTCTCTGCACTGGGTACGCCCCTTTTTAGATGCCTAGCAATCTGGGTTAGTTGTTGAGGTAGTTGGAACTTGGAACTTTGCTCCTTATTGCCTGTTAAAATTATCATTCCCTGATGAAGATATGTCATGTTAAGTGTTGCAAAGTTAATGGGCAGGACCTGAAATCAAGTTTTTTTTCATCATTTATTCCTAGCAACTGTAGTGATGCCTATTTCCATTTTACAGAACCTGTGTAAGCTAAAAATGCATGCATATCAGCATTTTTTAATATCGCAAGATATGGTCAGAAATTCTTTTGGCTACTACTATACAAGTTTATTAATTGCACTTGCAATTAGAATATAAATATTTTTTTTTCAGTTGTTGTATCCTTATAATAGTTATAATTGGTATGCAATAATTTTAGCTTTCTTGCATGAAGTGGAAAAGAAAAGGTTTGCCTAAGGGCTTGCTGGATTTGCTAATGAAAATATCATAAATTTGTTGCGCAGCGGCTGGCTTCAGATTTCCTTGCTGATTACATATTCCTTGCTGTTGGAAGAGTTGGTTCCAGTACTGATTTGATTGCTCAGAGGGTTGAGTTTGTTCTTGAGGCAGACAAAAGAAGTTACCTTATGGACCTTCTTCACGCACAAAAAGCTAACGGCACCCATGGAAAGGTACTACTCCCTTCGTTCCAAATTATAAGATGTTTTAGATTTTCTAGATACATTGCTTTAGCTGTGCATCTACACAGTGTATATCTAAAGGCGTACCCAGTGCAGAGAGCTCCCGCTCTGTGCAGGGTCTGGGGAAGGGTGTTAGTGGCAAGCCTTACCCTCGCCTGTGCAATGCGAGGAGACCGCGACTCGAACCCGGGACCTTCTGGTCACGGGCGGTAAGACTCTACCGCTTGCACCAGGCCCGCCCTTCATAGTGTATATCTAAGTACATAGCAAAATCTATATATCTAAAAAAGCCAAAACGTCTTACAATTTGTAATGGAGGGAATAGATATTTAGAGCTTTTTTGTCAACATATGATTCAATTTACTTTTGAGTCATGTAGTGTCGTTCTGTGAATTCTATTTCACTACAGTAGACTACCATAGTTAATCCGATCTCAGTAATTTTCCACCAACTTTTGTTCTGATGTCTGCAGCAATCTCTTACTTTGGTATTTGTGGAGACAAAGAGGGGAGCTGATGCTCTGGAGGACTGGCTGTTTAAAAACGGGTTCCCTGCAACAAGCATTCACGGTGACCGAACACAACAGGTGCAGCAGAGCTCGGACTTGCCTCCTTCAATTGTAGTTGCAGTTCATTCTAGATGGTAAATTAGCAAGTCATCATGTAGGCATTTTCTTACTGCGTGAACAGGAAGATGCTACAAAATGGACATGTTGTATATTTACTTGAATCGGTCACCAAATGATTTATGAAAATAAGATATCAGATTTGGTATTCTCAAGGCATGCAGATGCAATTGATATTTAAACGCACCATTCCACACATGGGGTCAATATTTTCATTCATTTTGGTCTTATTACATCTCTCTAAAATCTGTATTCAGTTTCTTGCATGGCACATGATGAAATACCATGATATTTACCATAACATCATTGTGCTTTGTCTGTGCAGGAAGAGAGTATGCATTGAGGTCCTTCAAGAGTGGAGCAACACCCATACTTGTTGCAACTGATGTGGCTGCTCGTGGACTTGACATACCTCACGTTGCTCATGTCATCAATTTTGACCTCCCAAATGATATAGATGACTATGTTCATCGTATTGGGAGGACAGGACGAGCGGGGAAATCTGGTCTAGCTACTGCCTTTTTCAATGAGGGCAACCTATCGCTAGCAAGGCCATTATGTGATCTAATGCAGGAGGCTAACCAAGAGGTTCCAACATGGCTTGAGCACTATGCTGCCCATTCTTCATACGGTGGTGGCGGTGGTAGAAATCGCCGATCAGGTGGTGCTCGATTTGGTGGCCGTGACTTCCGCCGTGACCGGGACTTTAGGGGAGGAGGCGGTGGAGGAGGATACAGCGGCGGTGGTGGTGGATATGGTGGCGGCAGTTATGGTGGTGGTGGATATGGCGGCGGCTATGGTGGAGGTGCAACTAGTTCCTGGGACTAGATACTGATTCCTAGTCAAGCGAGAACTGAACTGAAATGTGTTCTGTTGGCATTAGCCGAAAACAGATGTTGAGTTAGTCAACCCTAGGGTGGTTGGTATGGTGCTGGAGAAAGTCCCCATATACCTTACTGAAGGTTGGTTATTGGCTTATTGGTTATTGCTGTCTCTGTTTGCTCGTGCTGGGCTATTATTTGTTACCGAGTGTTATTGCCGGTGTGGGGGTAGTTGGGATGTTCTTTGCTGCTCATGTTACTTAGTTTTGGATGATGTGTATTATTCGGTTGTTGGTTAATATTTTCAGGTGGTCTCGTTGCTATTATTATACCACTGATAAAAATGGAAATGCCTTACATTGCAGTTGATTATTCATCAGAAGGAAGGATTGTATGTTTGTTGGGCATTGCTGATGTCTCTACTTGTTAGTGCTAGAGATGGTTCCGTTTCTTTATTTATATCGTGTACTCATTTACGAGCAATATACCATCGTCGTCGATACATGATGTAATAGAGGTACAGTGGCCAGCTTGGCCAGGTCGGTATGATATTTGTTCTGGAATTGTCAGGCTGCGCATCAATTTTAGGTACCTGTATGCATATACTTGGTACACGATATCTTAGCATATTATCTTTTTGATGAAAAAAATACAAGAGGGGTAATCTTCTCATATTACTGCTGGCGTAGTGTCTTTTTGAAAGAAAATAGGAGGCGCAATCTTCGCATATTATTGACGGTGTAGATTTGGAGTGACTGCTCAAGGTCAACGCGGCAAAAAAATTTCTCCACTACACAATTCTGGTAAACACAAACACGTCAGCTTTGAAAACAAGGCATGTCAACACAACACAAGACTATACAGTGTGCCCACTGCTAACTGAACAGAAACACATGTTCGTAGGATACATGTCGCGTGGCATTTTCTTCCTTACTTAAAACAGCTTCAAACCATACACCGCGCAAGAAAATAAAATGAACAAACAAATTGAGAGCAGCAACGGAGTCATGGAAGCAGTAGCATGCTGCCATAACGATATCGATATACAGTCAGTACTTCCGAATTTCCTGCATCCTTTGGAGACTACAGAGTACAAAAAGGACCTATACAAAACCAGTAACGCAACATAGTCAGCCTCGGGGGAAATGAAAATTGTTCAAAGCAACGTGGTTTAAATTGTTCAAATTGTTTGCCATACCAGATTGGCATAGTTTCTCTCAAGTCTCCATAGGAAAAGGCCAGCTAGAAGTGCATCACTTGGTATACAGTACCCCGAAAAGAATAGCCACCAGCACGAGGACAATCATGATCTGAGGAAATCACAGAAGAATATTGACAAATTATATTGCAGCATGCTAAAATGAATTTACAGATTATGGGTTACTCACCAGCATGGGCTTGTAAGGTGACTTGTCCAAATGGTATCCCCTACAGAATCAAGACAGACAATCAGGAATCCAGGATGAAGATGCCAAACAGAGAAGTGCAACTCTTATTGGCGTACCTCCGTTTTACCAAACCAGATGACTTGCAAGTTTGCTTTATTGAATCCACACGTCTCCGTGTCAGAGCAGCATTTGGATCATTGTCATCAATCTGGAACATAAACCAGATATGCATCAAGTTTCGAACAGCAACCAGAAGCCTTTTAGAGTTTAGAGGCCATGACTGACCCCATGAATGAGACACAGAATGGTACTAAGGTGGTCAGGACCTGGCAACTTGCTCTAAATAAACTTATACTTATCCATTAGGACAGCATTAACACACTGCCAGCTTAAATCAATGGCGAGTTCTGTAGACGACAGTGGGAGTGAAGAACTTTAAGATTTCAAGATTTCCTAAACATGTAGTCTAAATGGTCAACTGGTTAACATATATATATACCCCCCCCCCCCCCCCACCCCCCTGGTCAGGATTTGTTGACATTTCTGACAGCAAGATATGAACTAATTGCAGGTCGATTTGGGCTGTCTGAAACAGCAACTAATTTCGACTGGAAGTAGTATAATAACAGACTGCCCCTCCAATACAATGATATTGATGGATGAAGGGTGTCGGTGGCAAGCCTTACCTCACACATGTGCAATGTGAGGAGACCGCGACTCGAACCCGGACCTTCCGGTCACAAAGTGGTAAGACTCTACCACTTGCACCAGGCCCGCCTTCCAATACAATGATATTGATGGATGATGGATATAATAAATTTTGTTGTGGTGCAAGTAGCTCAGGTTGGGTTGACCGATTAATTCACCCAAGTTCTCATGATTTACTTTTTTCGAACACAGTTCTCATGGTTTACTGACCACAAACCAAAAGAGTGGTGGCAAGCGAACAGCCAATTAAGTGGAGTTCGTTCGGATCAACCTACATCCTATCAAATTTCATAGTATTATACAAAGGAATGCTATAAATAAATAGTATGGATGTTCTATTTGTATAAAGGCAACTAGACTCCATATTGGCTGCATCAACAATCAGTACTTTAGTGTACCTTTGACTCTATCAATGAAGAAAACTCATAGAAAGCAGTATAGACGTCTGACATTGAGTTTGCCTCATCAATTATTCGTGCTGTGAGACCTAAGAGCAAAAAAGTGTCAGGTAATTATGTACACAAAACAGAGTAATAGAATAGTCACATGATGTTAAGAAAGGGAGTAATTAGATACAGAAACTAGGAGTTTTTTATACTAGTTATATTAGTGATTATGAACCAGAGGCAATTGTAAGATGCAGATCCACTTGCCCCCCAAAAAAAGTAAGGAAAGGATAAAACAGCCCCATTCATGTGCATATGTTTCTCCACAAAACCAAAACAGATGCATAAACAATAGTAGGTGCCCTGCATGTTTCAAATTGCACTTCTGTGCCTCTTATAAATAAAGGGTGTGAGGTTGTGATAGAGACACACATTTCTCCCTAAAGCATAACATGCATTGCATCAGTGATCAAACACCAATCACATAGCAGTAATCAAAAGAAATCAAGGAAACATAATATGTTCTCTCGGGATGTAGTATATACTAATATACATACAAAAGCAAAGCACTTGCAGAACTCCAAAATAGATTTCATCAAGCTTACGTGCGATAAGGTGATATAATCAAGAACACACAGGCATTTTCTGAGGTAAAGACAGATGAGTCTCGGAGAAGTACAGTGTGTCTTACAAAAGTAGCTTACCACGTCTCATCTTTACAACTCCTCCAAAGACATGCACATTATTGTAGCAAAGAGCACATGTTCCAATTGCCATTATCTAGAAAGAGGAAATAGCAACTTAGTATCCTATGGAGGAAATACTTTCAAGAATATATTGAGGAGCAAAGTATATAACATGCAAAACAAAATTAAATAATTGACCAAGATAGATGGAGAATCATTCTTGATCAGTCAAAAAAACCAGGAATGCAATCTAGATTTCCCCACAAATGAGATTTTTTAGAAGAAAGCTCGCAGAGCAACTTAGCAGAATATCATATTTCGATTGAGTCTAAAAATCTAACAGTTTCCTCAGCTATGAAACATGATTTTTTTTAAAAAAAAAGGCTTTCCATAAGACCATAACGCTAAACTATTATTCCAAGCAGTAACTACTTTAAGTAGTTAAAATACAAAGGCTTTGGGTATTTCCAGGAAAAAGATAGTATAACAGTTTTGATAACCTTGTCCAATTACCACAAGTACATGCTTGAAGGACAACGCTAATCTTGGTACACTTTGTCTGACAAAAGCAGATATATTAACAAGTCTTAAGTTAAACCCTTTTTTTAACTCAGATACTCTGGACTATAAGGTAGTTTCCACGAATACTGGCAGACTTTAACATTGTTTTCCAGAGCTACAAACACATCTAACTGTACTTTTTTGAGAGAGGGTTTATGTGTAGATTTGAGTTACAATTCTAAATAACAGTGTTCAACCTGGAACTAGATTTACGAATGGAGCACCAGAATAGCGTTGAAAAACTAGGTCCTCAATAGGCAAAATAAAGTCAAACAAGTTATGTACCTGGGGTATTGCACAAAAACGGGAAATGGCATGATCCTTCAAGGCTGACATGTACTGAAGGCACTCTTCAGCATGAATTAGTGCATTAGTCACCATATCGTTCAAGCACTGTACTGCTTTTTCGGAATTTTCCTCATATTTGAAATCCTGGTTTCACAGAAAAAACATTTATTACTACAGCAAAAAGTTCAACCTGCATAATAAGGTTGACTAGGTAGATAACATCTGACTATTTATTGTTCACTATAATATTTGAGCTACTGTCTGTAACAAGCAGTTATGGACTCCCCCAGGCCCCAACAGGTAGAACACATAACACATATCATGAAATAAGAAATATTGCTGGATGTGTGATAATTTAGTCTTAGAACATTTACCATCATGTGAAGCTACTCAATTGCAGTAAAAACAAGCTGAATATTTTGTGTACCTCAAGCTTATCTGCATATTTACTCCATATCTCTCGAGGCCAGAACATGCGAGACTTTGGTATCTCATTTATGTCCTCCAAATAGTCCCTAATTATATTAGTTTTCTGCAGTTTGATGACAAATAATTGTTAGCGACACAAATTGTTAAAACAGAAATTCCATTTCACACAGGGAGCAAAAAATGGATCAGTTGATTCATTCACAACAATTAACATACCTGTAAAAATAGACCCATTGAATTTGACAGTGAGTCTGGAGCAAGATCTTCCGTCCCAGCAGCATAGAAGAGTCTGGAAAGTCCATAACCAACTAGCCCGGCTACATAGTGACAATACTCGTCATAGTCATCGACAGTTTCAACCTAAATAAAAAAGGACACTTCACATCAGTTCAGAGAAATACTGAGCCAACACATATATAGAACTGTAGGTGTAACCAGCACATGGATTTTCTCCTTGTTTTCCCATGAATCAAGGACTACTAAATAATGCTCGCTGAAAGAATAAAGGTTTCCTTGCTGCCTTATACTCAATGCAGGATATAAAATCACTTTTCCGCATGT